ATTGAAAGGTTAGGGTATTTTTCGGTAAAACCCTGTTTTAAACCCTTGATGCCTCTGTTGCTCATTACCTCTGTGTTGCTTCATGCTTTCTGTGTTCTGGAGCTGAACTTGAAAGCAACTAATACGTAGTGATGATTCGGATCCAGGATTTCATTATCAGGTCATGATGGTGGTTATTGATTTTGTGAACTCGCTATGAAATTTTTTTCTTAGTTGCTCAACAGTTGTTATATTTACTGATCCCAGTTTGGATTCAGGACTCTTTGCCTCTGAGTTTTAAATCATTTAATTTAGTTGACACATTTGTTTCTATATTTCCAAAAACTTGTTAAACTTGTTCAAACTACATATTTTAATAGTATGATGGTTATGTTCAAATACAGTTCAATACAAAACAAATACTCTGATGTGATACAAAATGAGAGGATATGAAACAGTATAATCATTAATTTTAGTCTCTTTTCTGAATGTTAGTTTGCAGAGTGACTGAGCGCTCAGTGTTCTTTGGTTTAACAGAGAAATGATTGTCAAAGGCTGGAAGGGAAATCTGTGGCGCCAAAGTGAACACTTGACATCTCTGCTGTTATTCTGCAGCGACACCAGAACACGCGTCCTTCTCATTACGTCCACACAGGTGCTGAGTCGACACAGGCTGACAGGCTGAGTTAGGAGTTTCTTATTCCGCTGCCTTCTACAGCCGTTTGATGCAATGATAAATGTGGGAGCGACCTTGTTTTTTCTTTCCTTCAAGAAATGCTCATTTCTGGATCTAGTGTATGGCTTGCTGCCAGTGTTTTCCGTCACGATCATGTTTTGTACCGAACAGGCATGAGGGAGAAAGGTTCTTCTAATCAAAAGATGAAAAAAGAAGAAGAGCAGAAAGAGCAGCTTGCTTTGAACTCTGTAAATATGAACGGGTAAGAACTGGGATGGAGATGATTTCATTAAAGAGGAACCGGTTTTGATCAGAGCGTCGTGTTTGATCTGAACCATGATTGGTTTTTCTCTACAACAATTTTTCATGCTGCACAAAGATGAATTCTGCAGATATGAAGCATCACTCCTTTTATTATCATTACATTTAAAAGAACTAAAAACATTTTTTCCACTCTCATTGAGAGATTTTAAAGTTGAATGAGTGTTGAACAGTTTTAAGGCTCATCTGCCATCTTGTGGCCAGATTTGTTCATTACATATTTGTAGTGAGCGCCTCCATGAATAGCTGAGCAGCACTCTGTATGAGTTTAAAACTGTAAACCCCCTCTTATTAAACCAGTTTTGACCAAATGTCTTTTCAGTCTCAGCTAATTTGACAAATACTGAGCTCTGTGTGGTAGTAGTTGATACTAATCCCCAGCTTATAATCTGAGCATACACTGAGCAACCAAGATCTGTTTTTAAACTACAAAATATCCCATGAACCACTAATTTTATTTTATTGGAACTTTCAGGAAGCCATAATTGTATTTACAACTCATTACCTTTTGGATGAAACAAATTCAAGTTGGCTGCTGCAGCCAACTTAAGAAAATACATCAACTGTTACCAACTCAGATCTGAGCTAAACAGCTTTGCCACAAGTGATGGAGTTTAAATATCTGGGTGTCTTGTTCACAAGTGATGGTAGGAGTGGGAGATGGAGCAATGGATTGGAGTTTCATCCTCAGTGTTACATCCCCTGGTTTGGTCTAGGAGATTAAAGGGACTAACATAAATCTAGACAATGAAGGAGGAGTCAACACGACATTTAAGGTGTTTATTTTCTGCCATGTTTTTAAGTTTCTTGTATTCAGACTAATTAAATGGTTTCAGGGAGAGCTCAGGCCAAAATAACAAACATAACAACCCTGAAAGAAAAAGATCAATTTAAACTTACCTAACTCCAATGAAAATAAAACATACAAACCTAAAATAACCTTACCTAACAAGCACGTAAACAGGAGAAAACTGAGGTTAAAGAAAAAGGCAGCTCTTCCCTACAAGATCAGTCTGCCCAGTTTTACATTATCTCTGTGAATATAAAGAGCCTTTCAGCTGACACAACAACAAATGGTGTATGGCAGTCAAGTGGCCCATAGGCCCAGAAGTGCAGCTTCACAGCCATTAAATAGGGTCCAACTGATTGACTGGCTTGAGACCCAAGGAGCAGCACCCAATCACGGGGGAGGCACAGGAGAGGAGGCGGGACCTAAAAGAAGGCACAAGACATTATGGTTATGGTTATGGTTGGTGGGGATGGATATAAAATACATATGAGCGGAGGCCTCCTAAGTGGGCCCATTGCTCTCCCCAAAAAGACACTGGTCTTCATTCAAACCTTCACGTCCCCCAGATAAAGGACACAAGATTAGAAACATTCAGTGTTCTGAGCTTCTCAGGATCCATAAAGGGGTCCCCAAGAATTATTTTCCTTTGACCACTCAGAGCCAGGCAGTGGCCTAAGTAGTGCAAATAGGTCTCTAATTCAATGCCACATTGTCATGGAGTCCCATCACCATTTTGTGGCGGTTGAGCAGATTGTGCCCAGTTAGGACTCCAACCAGTGTACTTAGAGTTTTCCTTGTCAGGGAGATGAGAGCTTTCCCAAACCTTAGAGTTGGGCCGTTAATCAGTTCCCATGCCTGTCTACAGTCCGTCAGCTCCCACCAGTGGATTGAGTGTTGACGTCTAATCCAGGCCTGTAGGGCAGTCCTACAGACATTTGTTGAGGTACCTACAACAGGCTCTGGTCCTTTGAAGTGAGCCTGACTGCCAGCTTTTGCGAGGTAGTAAGCTCTCTCGTTACCATAGATGCCAGTATGTCCTGGTACCCATTCAACAGTAACACTGTTATCTCTCCCAAGTTGGTTGACTGCTTCAGCACACTCCCAAGCCAGTAATGACATAAAGTGTGGCCCTCGGAGAGGTTTAATGGCAGCTTGGCTAACTGTTAGGATTAATATTTCCTTCTGTGTACACTGAAGGTCTTTGAGAGATGCCACACACTGGTGGATTGCATATATCTCAGCTTGAGATACAGTTGCAAAACAACCTTGTGGGTATTTATGCTCTCTCTCTCTCTCTCTCTCTCTCTCTCTCTCTCTCTCTCTCTCTCTCTCACTATAATTGTGCAAAATAAGCACCGCTGCAC